GTAACTTGTATTGTCTATTGAGTACTGCGTACTGTGGCTTAGATATGAACTATCGTATACTGTGTGAACGATATGTACATTGCTTCCTTTGCATCCTGGTAGTATCATATCAAGATATTTTCATCTACTAAATCATATGTTTTTTGTTTGTTGATAGGTTGTCAAACTGACTAACTAACAATTTCATGGTCGGCTGTCCATGGAAGCACTGTCACAAAAAATATTGCTTGTCCTGAGAGGATACACTCCGAGACCTTTCAGAGAAAGAACATCTTTGGGGTCTTGGGACTATTAAGTAAAATATTTGAGATAATTGAAGATTCACCTGTCAGAAATAGACGCAACATGGCAGATCACATGATTTAAACACAATTGCCGTAAATGAGAAGCTGGACTGATTGTCAATGTTAAAAAGCGCTTATTCTCACAGGCCGAAAATCATGGGAAATTTGGACACATGACAGAATATTCCCAAAACTCCAATAAAACCCTGTAAAAATTACCATGCACAATTTCACTTTAAACTTTTCGAATTTGAGTTTATAACAATTTTCAGTGTTCAAACATTCATTTCATTCTAAATAATATATATGATACCTAGAGCATATGTTTACTGTAAAATACTTAATTTTAGCTGGAATTAATTTTCACTCGAAAGACTTTTTAGAAATTTTGTATTGAATTTATTTTCACTGATTTTTGACGAGTTAAATATAAAATATAGGAACAAAGGAATATTCGCTGGATTTTATTTTCACTGAATCATTCCTTTAGTGAAATTAATTCCTAGCAAAAATAAATTATTTTACAGTAACCAGAAATCAGCTAGAAAGTCAATTCAATGTGGATGTTATTGGATCTTATATAAAGCCCATTCTGATGATAAATTGAGCTATTGGTTTCATTGCAGAGTTGTTAAATGAGGTCATATGTCAAAAAATATTAAGTTACATTTTTTTTAGTTGCAAACAGAATGAATTTTGACAGAATTAATCGATGAAAGCCAGTATTTCAAGTACATGTAATATGGTTGTGTATTAAAAACTGTTGATTTGATTTGAATATTTAACAGTTTATCAAGGATATGCTTGTAAGTAGAAATATCTGGATATTGTT